CTTAGACCTTCCCTGGGGGTGCCACTTTGGCATGAAGGTGCCAAAGGTTCATGTCCTAACACCTTCATGCCAAAATGACAACCCCCTTCCCCTATGGAAGGCCTAAAGTTCCAGTTAGATAGCAGATTGGTGTCTCTGGGTTCCTTTTTTTATTGTGGGTGTTGATGTTTCGGTAGGTAGAGCTGCGGGCTGTGATTTTTAAAATGGCTGAGAGAAGGATACAATTTTTCCAACTACAGTAGAAAAAATTCTCGAACAATGGAGAAACAAATTACATTCCAAAACTTTACGATCATAATCTGCATTCAAGGCCTAGATAGCTCAGTTGGGAGAGCGTTAGACTGAAGATCTAAAGGTCCCCGGTTCGATCCCGGGTCTGGGCAAGTTATTTTTCTTTGCGCTCCCAATTTCCCCGTACTTATTTGTCATGCGAATTTTAGTGAACTTGGCAACATTATTTGCCACAGAAGCATACTACAGAAAAGATCGACCTTAAAATGGATCCTCATGGTAAGACCCATTGTTTTCTGTTATTACTGCTTTATTCATTTCAACATTTTATAGTGAAACTTGTGGCTTAACAAGAATGTAATTACTATGCTATGTATCCTCACAATCCCAATGTACCTTCTTGTATATATATATATATATATATATATATATATATATATATATATATATATATATATATATATATATATATATATATATATATATATATATATATATATATATATATAAATAAATATAGTTCATTATGGGTGATTAATGTAGCCTATCATGTTTTGCCTTATCAAAAGCTTTAAAAAAGTCCATGCACACTACGTCTACGTCAGAAACGCGAGTAGATTTTTTAGGCAGGATTTGTAATAAAAAAAAAAAGTGCAAACAAGAATGTGAACTGTTAAATGTTGCATGATTTATTTCTGAGTTTGCAGATGTGTGTGATTAGGCTAGCCAAATTTTTGCTGCATTTATTTCCGCATCTATTGAAGATATAAATGTCGTATGCATATTTATTTGTGCTAGTAAAACGTCTGAACCTAAAAGCAACGAGCGACATGTACAATATGAGACTAGTGATCACTTAAAGTTCTTAGTTTTTATTTTTTTAACATAAACAACAGGGAAACGTTGTGTGACAATTGTATATCAAGTTCCAGACTCTAGGCCTCAATACAGCTTACTATCAGCGTTTACTTAATTTACCAGAGGGTCGCCATATCTAATTGTGGTCTTGACGGGGACAGGACGCTGCATGATGGCTTGTCAAAGCTCCACAATTACAAAAAAAGTTCCACGGTCTATTACAAAATAATGATACGGCCACACTTCCTCCTTGTCGAAAATACGGCCAAGGATGCATAGTAAAGTTCAAATTTGTTTATGAAAAAATGTGCTACATAGCCTTCGCGGCTTGGTGGTGTCTTTGATAATTACTTACTTATTATGAAAATAATGATAAATTGCAAATTTTAACCTTTATGTTAGGCCTACTGAATACTATATTTTTGCCCGTAACAAATAGATTTTTCCGATGGTGACTGAAAGAGCAAAGAATGATCACAGTAGTACATGAATAGTACATTACTTAAGCTATTACTTGGCACAAAATTACATTGTTTAGCACAAAATTGTATTATGCGGTACACAGTATCTTCAACCACTTATGGCGAAACGAATTAGTACATCCCAAATTCTTAGTATAATCTTTATTTATTTAATGCTCGGAACATCTCAAGACTTTAATGAAAAACAACGTTATATAGATGTGGGGTTGAACAACTGAACTTATGCAGCAGCCTGCGGCCTATGCATCTGTATTAATTATTGTATTGTATTGCAAATAAAGAATACATACACACACACACACACATATATATAAATGTATATGTAGTAAAATGTGTGTAGTAAAAATATAAATGTGTGGTAAATTTTTCAAATAAAGTTAGATATATATATATACACACGCATACCAAAGGAATAGGGGTGGTAGAAGAAAATATTAGTGTCCAGTGAGGATCCACAAGGTCTTCTCTGAGTACTCTTTATTTTCTTCTCCGAGGCTATGCGTCCCTACACTTGCACCAGAGGTGGTACCCCCCTTCTTTAATGTGTAAATATTTCATTAAAAATTATCTACTTCCAGACATTTGCCAAATAACCCTAGTTTGCTAACTGTACGTAGTAACTGGGTGATTGTAACCTTTCCACCACTGGTTAAGGGGTGATGTGCAGGATAAATATATAAGTTATGACACTAGCTCTCCACATATGTAAGTTGCTTAATTTAGAGATGTAGTTGTGTTCGATCTCGAAGCCATAGTTGTTGATGTAGCAATGTATATTAAATTTTGTAACTAGCTCATTAAAACTAACATGGTTAGCTAAGTGAATGTTGGGGTTCAGTCCCTGAGCCCATTATTTATTTATTTATATACAAGAAGGTACATTGGGTTTATGAGAGTACAGAGCATTGGAGTTTTACATTCTTGTAAAGGCACTAGCACGCATAGCGTTTCGGGCAGATCCTTAAGATAATAGATAATTTTAAGAAGGTAATTTCTAGCAAAACTAAAAAAAAAAATGTTTACAGGTACATTGTAAGAAAGTATAACAATACATTGTAAGAAAGTATAAAAATGCATTGTAAGTATAAAAAATACATTGTATAAGAAATTTGGCAGGATTAGTAGATACATTAATGTAAATTTAAGGGCAATCTGCAGGTACATTGTAGCATAACTTGAGGATTATTGCAAGGTATAATGTAGTAAACTGTGTTCAGTATAACAACCATGATATAAGATAACAGCAAGGATTACAATGGTAAAGTTATGCCTGTGTGTGTGTGTGTGTGTGTGTGTGTGTGTGTGTGTGTGTGTGTGTGTGTGTGTGTGTGTGTGTGTGTGTGTGTGTGTGTGTGTGTACTCACCTAGTTGTACTCGCCTAATTGTGTTTGCGGGGGGGGGGGGGGGGTTGGACTCTGGCTCTTTGATCCCGCCTCTCAACCGTCAATCAACAGGTGTACTGATTCCTGAGCCTATTGGGCTCTATCATAACTACACTTGAAACTGTGCATGGAGTCAGCCTCCACCACATCACTTCCTAATGAATTCCATTTGTCAACCATTCTGACACTAAAAAAGTTCTTTCTAATATCTCTGTGGCTCATTTGGGCACTCAGTTTCCACCTGTGTCCCCTTGTGTTAAATGGCCCGTCTTTACCTACCCTGTCAATTGTGTGTGTGTGCCGCTGTAACCCTTTCCACTACCGTCCACAGGATGAAAGTAGAGTTCATAATAAATGAACTAAACTAAAATACATTAATATTTTGAATTTGTATTAACAAGAATGTGGCCTGTTGGTCTAGGGGTATGATTCCTGCTTTGGGTGCAGGAGGTCCCGGGTTCAAATCCCGGACAGGCCCAGCACATTTTTGTTAAATTTGAAATTATATTTTTATTTACCTTTATGAAACTTCACAGTTTTACACACAATTCAGTTTCATTAAATAGTTCAGATGGGACCAAATTTTGACACAATTCAGTTTTATTAAGTTGTTCAGCAGCCTTTCTTGCAATTTCCCAACATATAAACTATGCTAGTGTCGTTAAATCAACTTAATCTCAACATTATCAACGTCGGTTCAAGTTACTGCAGAGGCATCTCGAGTTCTGAGATGATTTCGGGGCTTAGCGTCCCCGCGGCCCTGTCTTCGACCAGGCCTCCTTTTTGTTACACACCCCCAGGAGGAAGCCCGTAGCAGCTGTCTAACTCCCAGGTACCTGTTTACTGTTAAGTGAATGGGGGCATCAGGGTGAAAGAAACTCTGCCCATTTATTTCTGCCAACACCGGGGATCGAACCCTGAACCTCAGGACTAAGAATCCGAAGCGCTGTTCACTCAGCTGTCAGGCCCCTTAAAACTTTCCTTTGTTTGGCCCGTATGGGGATCGAACCCACGACATCCGCGTTATTAGCACGGCGCTCTAACCAACTGAGCTAACAGGCCACGCATGATAATGGCGCCGCCTCCAAGACGGGATAATAAACACAAATAAAATGAGCCTCACCTTACTTCATTACCGGGAGTAATGAGAGGTTGACCGGCATATGCTTCCCAGTAGGTCTCGAATCTACGGCGGCTGCTCGGTAAGATAGCTACTCTTGGCTACTATCTTACTCGGTAAGACAATTAGAGAGACTCTTGTCTCTCTCAAGTGCGGGTGTCTACTGGTGGGGGCGGCGCCGCGGCTTCCCTTGACGGTGGTGTTCAGCCAATCATTTTCGGGTATGACCTGGAGATAACACGAATTTTCATGAATAGAAACTATAGAAGACGCAGGAAATTTCCCAAAATGTAAACTTTTTCCCAATGGAAGTCTCGCCCTCTGGTGGTGGTCAGGGGCGGTGGGGAAGGAACACTTCCACCCGAGGGTAAATTTAAATTTAGTTCTCTTCCCTTATTACATTAACAACGTTTGCCTTCTGAATTTCGATTAGTTTATTTTACACTCTGTTTATTCCATCTGTATTTTACAAATATGGGCCGGGATTCATTAAGCAGTTACCCAAATAGTGAACGAATCATTATACATCTTTTCTCAAACTCTGACGGCTGTTTACAATAATTAAAGAATTTTCGAGCACTGAAACTTCTCAGTTAAATGTTACTATTGTTATAAAACAGCCACCTAGTGTTTCGGACCATAAAGTGTTTAATAAATGTAAATAAAGCCGTCAAAGATTGTCAAAGGATTTACAGGTTCGTAAATAATTGCCTAAGTGCTTGAGGAATACTGCCCATAGACCGCTAAAATATATATATTTATCTATATTAGCGGTCCAGGTGATAATGATAGATTTAGGATATACATGATGTACAGATTTTTTCGTATTTTATATTCCTATTTGCAGTTTAGTAAGTTATTCAAATCTTACCATTAGGTAAGCCACTTACCAGCTTGGAGTAATAATTAATTGTATGTGTTTAACAGAGCTGTAGCCGAGGACGAGACGAGTTCTGCCACCTTCAAAGACAACAACTTTGTGGAGGCCAATGGTAAAGCCTTTGTCAACCTGTGTGGCGTGAAGAACCTTGTGTGGCACAACAACTCATTCGTTAACATTACCATGCCTCCTCTCAGGTTCCAGGTCAGTCATTGCGAAAACTAATTCATAATTCATCCCTTCTTCCTTAGTGTCGCAAAAAGAAGGATTTTGTTGTTCCTCCATCTCCCTTATCACTCTTCCTCCCTTCCTTCCTTTCTCTCTTTTTCACTTCGTACTTTCTTTCTCGTTAACTGTTGTTATTCATTGTATTACTTTAATATATTTTAAATATACTAGATTTTGTCATTATTGCCTGTGAAACAACAGCAACACCTGTAGTGAAACTACAGCAACTCTCAGCTGTAGTAGAGGTGGAGTAGACTTCCTCAGGCACGGTGAAGGTCGGGAGGCCATTTGCAGCAAAGATATGTTCAGGATCTTCACATATTCTCGGTAGTTGGGTCCAGCAATCTTAGCTGCCACTAATGTTAAGGCGTATACCGTGCTGTGTGGTGGGTTAGGAGCCGATATGGGCTATGGTGTCGACTGGGTCAGTGGTTGGCTGGTGGTCTGGGAGGTGTGTCTCCATTGGCTGGTCGCCGTATGTAGTTCTTCCTCCTCCCGGGAGTTCCGGGAAAATGGCGGGTTGGAGGTTAAATGGCGACGGTACGTCCCTCTTGTGGGACAACTTCTATTTGGATTGTCTTCTTGTCTGTCACGCTTTAACAAATGATTTTATTTATATGTAGTGAAGATCCGAGTCTCCACAGCTACAACTGCAACATTGTGATGGCTGTCCAAAATTACTTTTCCTTGGACCACCTCTGCTTGTAATATCGCCAATGCTACATAGCTAACTACTTACAATGGTTATCAACAGACGTAAAATCTTAGAGCAACAGCATGGAATCCAAATGAATTTTGCCAGATTATTGATCGTGTTTAACTTAACCTGTTAGGCAGGGAATTTGTCAAATTCCATCAAATTTATATCTGTGGCAAATCATAATCTTTACTGCTAGAATCCACTCAGTAAAACATCTAAATTACTGGGACCGACTAAAGAGCCTAAATCTGTACTCCCTTGAGCGCAGGCGGGAGAGATACATAATAATTTACACGTGGAAAATAATTGAGGGGCTGGTCCCAAACCTGCACACAGAAATAACACCACATGAGACCAGAAGACATGGCAGGATGTGCAGAATACCCCCGTTGAAAAGCAGAGGTGCAACAGGTACTCTGAGAGAGAACTCTATCAACATCAGAGGCCCGAGACTGTTCAACACGCTTCCACTACACATAAGGGGCATAACTGGCAAACCCCTCACAGTGTTCAAGAGAGAACTGGATAAGCACCTCCAAAGGATACCTGATCAACCAGGCTGTGACTCATACGTCAGGCTGCGAGCAGCCGCGTCTAACAGCCTGGTTGATCAGTCCAGCAACCAGGAGGCCTGGTCGACGACCGGGCCGCGGGGACACTAAGCCCCGGAAGCACCTCAAGGTAGCCTCAAGGTGGCTAATAGGAATATGGTTCCCTTTAAGAGGGACGACAGATTTAACAAGGATCATCGAATCAAGTACCTTCGATGATCTCAGCTTTGGGAAAGGGGGTCACGAACTTGTCAACCAAGTCATGGTTACCCTCGCTAATGTATTAACCAAGTATACTTGGTGTTGTTTGCTACGTGGCTGTATGTAGAAAGAGGAGCACACACGTCGGGTAACTATACAGCCTCTAAGAAGCGAATGAGTTAGCTATATCCCACATACTCAAAATACATGATAGGTCCTTCCCTAGATATATATATATATATATATATATATATATATATATATATATATATATATATATATATATATATTAATAATAATAATAATAATAATAATAATAATAATAATAATTATAGGCTGTGTTTATATAACGTTCAGTTTCTTATATATTGCATTATAACTGTAAGATCATCTTTTCCAGGAACCCGAGTGTGAGACAGCTCGGGACTGGAAGAAAATAATTTCTCTGACTGGCATCAACTGCTTAAATTGTGAGGACTTCAGGAACTCAGATGAACAGGTATCCTTATCAGTCACATATATTATATCCTTATATCTCCATCCCATCCCAAATCCTTATCCTGACCCCTTCCAAGTGCTATACAGTCGTGATGGCTTGGCGCTGAATTACCCTTGATAGCTCCTTCCTCCTTCTCCTATATCCATTTATCTCCATCCTCCTCCTCCTATATCCATATACGGTATACTAATTTGCTTGTACTCGCCGAAATATGTTCATAGGGTTGATAGTTAGCTCCTAAGGCCCGTCTTATTAGCTGTGGGTTGTTATATACTAAAATAGTCCTAAGATCGTATGTTAAGCCTCGGACTGCTTATTTAGGCCTAGGACAGGTTAGGCTTAGATTATTCTGTTCCATTAAGATTTTTCTTTAGAATTCCAATAGTACAAAACATGATGTTGTTTGGGTGGTACAAGAAGTTACATTATGTACATTCTAGCCATTGCAGCTGTGTGCGCGTGAGTACTATTAATAATGCATAACATATAAATTGTCAAAACACTTACATTTACAAATTAAGTATTGAAGTAATAAAAGCTGTGTTATACGCATGTACATAAAATCATTCTAATGCTGTTATGTATTTATGCACACCAGACCTGCGCCATCTACGAAACTGGATACTGCACGTCTTGTACGGAACTCTTCGATAATTGCTACAGCCCAGCACTCCATCTAATTATTAATCAGTGTTCAACATCACATCCAAATGTTGTGTCAGAGCTGGAGACCAACTGTCATTTCAACTACAGCAAAACCAGGCCAGAGCCCAGGAGCTTAACTGGTGTTGGGAGTAATCTTATTCCGCTCTCATTGTTAATATATGCTGGCCCAGTCTTATATATCCATATGCTGAATAATTAATTATTAAAAATTATTCGAATAGTTAAAAATGCTTTGAAATTAAATCCTTAAAATGCAAGGTTTGATCTGAAAGCAAGCTATAAATTCATACGCATACAATCATATCACCTATGACAGATTTCATAATGACTGCTTTTCACTGTCAAAACACTGACGTCGAAAATAACTGTCAATGTGAGTACTGTATAATGCTGTTAAAAATGTTATATGGTTATCAACACAGATGTAGACTGATTCATGTGTGGTTGGGTCCCCACTAGTGGACCTTGCCTAAAAAAAATTTAATCCAAAGAAAAAATAAGAAATAAAACAAAGATTATTATATTCTTTAAGACATTGTTACTGGCCACCAGACCTTTGCTTCGAATTCTTCAATCAACCCGTCCTCTGGAATAATACATCGTATTCTTACAAAATACATCAAAATCACTGATGGACCTGAACCGATTATGTGCCTCTGTAATCATCTACACCACCGCCCACGGGATGGGTATGGGGTGCATAATAAAGAAATTGAATTGAAATATGAGCTATTACGAATCATAGCGGTTCACAAACCAACCCGTTCTTCTAAGCATTCACAACGTCACTAACTGTTGCACTAAATTGCCCGAACCTAGCCTACCCGAGGACCCAATAACTGAAAACTGTACATCTCGTCAAATTCGCGAGTCACTGTCAATTTTATACGTCTGTTTTTGGCCTTTGGGTAATTATACGTCAAAATGCGAGGTACTATTCAGGAGAATGAGTTGCACAAAAAGCATGTTTTCTATGCGTGGCTCCGTCTGTTAGACTAGGTTAGGTTTGGGCCATTTAGTACACCAGTTTTATGACGTTGTGACAATAGAAGATGGGCTGCTTCCATACACACATGTCAAATGTGCATTAATGACACTATGTAAAAGACACATCGAACACTTTATGTAGGGCATACGTAAATCTGTGTATCTATGTATTTATGTATGTAGGTTAGCTTAGCATTTTAAAAGCACCGAATCACCTTCTGTGGTTGTGTTCAATAAACCCTTGAACTATATGTTTAACACATCTCTAACCCTGTCCATGGAGGACAGAAGAAAATGTATATATGTGGTTAGCATTGTAAATGTGTGGCCACGTCTGTGGTAGAAAAAAAAAACTCAAGTCCCTCCGTACAATCCCTACTTGGCCTCCATATGGCACTGATCATTACACGATTTACTGATCACGTGCTGCTGGCATACTGAATTACATCTAAGAACTCTTGAATATTTTGTTGGCTTACACAGTTGTATATAGCCATAATGGCTTAGTGCCTTAATGTGATTATTATGCATCTACTCTAACTTACCCCTTTCCCCACTGAGGAGTGTTGCACACGCCACGAGGGTCTGTCGTGAGTAACGACCCCCACAGTCCATTCTCGAGAGCGTTTCCAGCATCAAGACTGTCGTACTCAAGTGCCTTATCTTAACCTACCAGAGGACCCACGGACAGAAAACGAGACACCCATGTTTTCTAGTTGCAAACCACAGAGACAATTGAGCACAAGCTCAAGAAATTTTAATAAACAATATCCTCACCTTCAAGAACGCAGGACAGGAGACACCCTCCTAAAAACAGATAAGAATCCAGTTCGTCTGAAAGCGACCTTGAGTCAATTTCAGGTCCACCAAGATCCTCAACACCAGTTGCAACTTAAATGGTGTCAAATTAATAGATATCCCAAATGGCTCGAAAATAGCTGTTCTTAACATTTTATTATTTTTTTTACAGACAAAAGAAACTGGCACATTTCATATTTGTTAACCATGCATCATATTCATTCCAACCGTAATTTTACTGTAATTATTCTACTTAAAATTATCTGTACCTGTAAAGTAAAGCTGTAAAGTACCTGTAAACATTTGTTGTCAATTTTACTGTTAAGTATCTACAAATTATGTTAGTTTAAGGACTTGCCCGAAACGCTATGCGTGCTAGTGGGCTTTACAAGAATGTAAATTCAACTTAATTTCTATGTTCTCTGTTAACCCCCAATGTACCTTCTTGTATATAAATAAATAAAACCAATATAATTTGTATCTTCTGCTACAAATGCATCTTTTACTCAAATTTATTTTCTCATTTAACTCTCATGTTTTCTATTTACTTTGATTACTCCTTTTTTATTGGCAGACAATTAAAGTGCCTGTCAAATTAAGTTAGACTATTTACATACTGCACACTGCTAAATTTTAATTTCACTATGTTTGAACTTGTTGTAAAATTAAATATTTAACATTGTATATTTACATTCCAATAAATTTTTTATATCCTCGTATTTGTTTGCATGTAAACCTACAAAACTGAGTAAGGTTCAAAGAGAGCCCAATAGTTCTCCGTCATCACTACTCTTCACACCCAGAGGTCACGACCTCTCCGTAGGGTGTAGTCGCACCTCCACGTGGCTCCAAAGGACTATTCATGCCCTCCATTTACGGGCTATTCATACCCGTGCCACCTTTTGAGTGGCTTAATCCTCATAAATCAATCAATCTTCACACCCATCCTAATTTATCCTGGCCTAACGGCAATGAAAGTACTAGTGTATTTATTTTAATTTATTTTATTAACATGGACACTGAGTTGTGACGTCACTGACATCTTTTCGCTCCAGGAATCTTTTTAGTATTCTACAAGTCAAAAATATTATTCATCTCTTGGATTTAATCGTCACCTTTACTATATGCTCAGGAAATGAACCCAATATTCCTTAAATTAGACAAGTTACACCACCGATGAACTAGTTACAGAATTTGGTAATATACATCAACAGTCTATTTGCAGTCTTAGTTTATCGTATTGCAAACCCATCACGGGATTAAATGTGGCATTTGAAGATATTCTGGTGCTGTACCTACACTAGTGGAGAGTAATGTCATTTCTTCACTCTTCTAAGTTAACACAATTACCGGTATATAAAAAAACAGATTCATGATTCAGATTTTATGTGGAGGTTCCCTTTTAGTTTACAAATTGATCTGTGGCATGGTAATAATGCATAACATTCATGTATTTAATATTAATGAACAACATTGATGCAAATAATGAACACTGGTATATTTAATGAACTAGAGTATATAGTATAATAAACAATACTAGTGTATTTGATTTAGCAACATTGGTGTATTTGATGAGCAACATTGGTGTATTTGAAGAACAACACTGGTACATTTAATGAACCAGTGTACTGTATTTAATAAAGACATAAAAAAAGAACACCAGTGCACTCAATGAACAATTTGTATATTCAGTGAATAAAATTAGTGTGTATAATGAACAGCACTGTGTAGTTAATGACCAGCATTTGATATAGGTAACACTTCTCAGATATAAATAATTCTGAAACATGATACAGTACTTTATTTTCCGTATCAGTAGCCTAGAGTATTATCCTAAATTTCATGTTTATTTTTATAAATACTGTATATCTTCACTTAATATAAGTCATGTATAAATATAAATGCCCAAAACACTTTGCATAATAGTGGCTTCTTTAGTATGTTTAAACAACTCCTGTCCCTACAATTGTACATTAATATTTCTTCTTTGTAAATACAATTCTTTGAAAAATAGTAATAATTATTATTATTATAAACATTAAATTAACACAAAGGTTAGAAATTGTCAGCTAAGAGCAAATTAACAAAATTGAAATATCTTTTTTCAATTAAATCTACGTATTATATTTCTGTTTGATCAACAAGAGAAAGTTTAAGTAAAGAAAAGTAATACCATATGTAGTCTTGAATCAACACATGAGGTGGGATTTTGTTTTTTATTGCATTAAAATGTTATTTTTCTCAAAATAATTCTAGACATTTATATGGTTTCCCTTACTGTATACAGAAATACTTTGTGAGAAAAGATTACTAAAAGTAAATGTGGACAAAAGTTGAGAATTAGTGGTAGAAAGGGAAGGAAACTTAAGTGTGACCTACAGGTAAAGTGAGACTCCCTCGAAGTGGATAATCAGTTTAAACACTGCAGGTTATGTCATGGAAGGAAAGTGCTGGTGAAATAAAATTCCTGCTTAGGAAAAATTAGATAGAAAGAAATACAAAAGTTGGTAAAGCTATTTATGATTGTACTAAGATGGTTTGGTTATACTGAAGGAATGAATATTATAAGACTTAAGTTGTGAAGACAGTATTAAAGTGAATTTCAGGACAGACAGAAGACAAGGTTAAACAAAATTAAAATTTATAGGCATGATGTGTGAGGATGAGGGAATTGATAGTAAACAACATATGGTAATAGATGAGTACTGAATGTTGGTGCACTCATTTTTAAGTGGAAGTGATTGTTTAATACATTTGTAACGACAAATTATGGAAAGCTTTCTGTATCTCGTCCTATGACTTGGTAGCATACTGCTGTGGATATTTTGCCGAAGTGTGATGGTGCTGATTCAAGGTTAGTGATGAAGATATAATGAATGGTTAAGTGTCTCTTTGATCATCTTATTTTCAAGTTTAGGTAAGGCTGTATACTACTTTACAACATACTTTTGTAGTTATAAGAAAATGATAACTGGTTTAACTGGTTAAAATAATTGTAAATATGAAAACTAAACTAAATGAAGGCCTGAACATATTTTTTTACTTCCAAGATTTACACATTTATTGAAATTTGAGAATGCTTCACCAATATTCCAGAATAACACTCCAAGCAGCTGTGGTATAAAAATAATAAGAAAATCCTCTATAATCTTAAAATGTAGCTTTAATACCAGTTTTAAACCATATGAATGAACAACGAATTACAAGAGAACACTATTAATGTATCTGTTCAGTAAAATACTCTTCCTCTCTGTTCAATATAAACCAAAATTTGATTTGATTTGATAAAAAAATACACTAGTTTTATTTTCATTCAAGTTGGCATAGTCATTCAGGAGTCAGAGTGACTGCAGACTCACAAACTCACTGACAGAATTCTAAAAATGCTGGATTGATGGTTTACATTATTAAAAACATTTTCCATTAAAATTGTAAACATGACAATGCAATGCTTTAGTTCAAAACACTTAATTCATGAATTTTAACTCTTTTTAAAAGATTTACATTCAAATTAAAATATTTTGCAGTACAGTACTTCTTTACTGTTTAAAGTTTAAAAGTAAAATTTATACATTTACATAAATATTATATCTGCATTTTTAATAGATAATGAATAGTTTATCAACACGACTGCACAAAACACCTAAATACTTGTCTGTATTGAGTGGAAATCAGACTGATGAGCGAGTGTATTAGAACATTAATAATTTTCTAGTATTTTTAATAAATACACCAATGAGGTGTATTTATTTTTTGACTGGGAACCTAAGTCATAAATTGTTGAGCCCTGTGTATGATATAGCAATCGTCTCAATGGGTTCCCAAGACCTATACCAGCATATATAGTTAAACATGAAGGAATATTGCAGTACCTGTTCATTGAACTACATTGTATATAAGCTACAATCTCCAGACATGTGTTTCACTACATTGGACATCAGCTTTATTTAGCCAAGTAAAACTACATTTCAAGTTTTACCAAATATAAATATCCCCCCAATAATAATAAAAAAAAAACTACGTCAACAAAGCTCATGCTTCGTAACATTCATATGAGATATTTAACACGCTATCTTTAGTGTAAGTAACTATAGTATAAGAAGCTAATGTATACAAACTCATAACCTGTTGATAGGCATAAGCTTAATGCCATGAATGGTTGCATAAGAGGTAATCAGCTATACTAATAGTAAGTATTGTCTTTGCCAGTATGATTATCCTTAAAATTAAGAGATTTATTGATGGTAAATTGTAACTAAAATTAACAATAAAAAATTGTCTGAGATTCTTTGACATGATAAAATATAATTGAAGATTAAAAACCCTGTCAATACATAACAATTATCTTAAGATTTATCTGTAGATACAAAAACAATCATAGTCTTAAATTAAAATTTGTTATCAAGGTTATAATGTGCATATTAAAATTTACATGATATGGATACATTATTAGGATATAATATATACGTAAGCCTATTATCACTTTCAAGGAAGATCACAGTAAGGTACAAGAATAAGTTGTCACATTGTATATAGGAAGTACACTATAAATACAATAATCAGTTTCGTAACAATCATTCCAATGTTTTTGTACTGTGCCCTATAAGTTATTTTTGTGCCATGTTGCATTGGGAAAGTGAAATTGTCAACTTGAATGAATTCTTACTGGGTAAAATATTTATGATCTAGGACTTATGTTGGAAGAAAAACTTGTCATATTAATACATGTTCTAATGCAATTTGATACCCATTGTTGGGGACAGGAAACTTGTTGGGCTTTTCGAGGTCCTCTTCCTCTAGGCCAATAACTGATCTCTGCGAGGATGCAACCTAACTCCCTAGTACCTATTTACTTCTTGATGAACAGAGCCCAGAGGCATCATGTGTAAGGAAATGTGCCCAATATTATGTCTTGCTTGTGGATTGAACCTGCGACCATTTGGGTGTGAACCGCCTACCTTCATTAGTCTCTGTGTATGAATTCAAGGATTTGTTTTGTATACTGTATATTAAAATAATGTCCATAATTACCAGAGGAATAATGTTTCAACATATATGAGCCCATCTACAGTATTTATTTATCTTGGTCATGTGTTTATATTCATAAAAGTTGATGATCCAGAAGGACGTGCTTTAACCATAAGGCAACAACTCATTTTCTTAAAAGCATCACAGACTTACTTCCAGATGTTTGATGATCACAGACCACTAATCTTCATAAGAAATATACTGAGTAGATGCAACTTCGGACTTTACAAACATGTAATTTACACATCAAAATTGTTACGAAACCAATTATACTCTTGTAAATATTTACATAAATAAATACAATAAGTCAATATGAACATTATTAACTGTTTTTAATCAAGCAGTCTATATTTTGAAGATAATACATGTGATGTGTTATTGAGTTTGTGTTTAACGATTGTGCTATGCCAAGCTTTATTGGCGACAATGTCCTGGTGTGTGGAGGAAAAAACAAATCCTCATAATACATGTACAGTATTGATAAAATGCATTCCCTGATCATGCAAAAAAAATTGATGTGGCTTACTTTGGCTGAGGCGAAGTGCGGAAATCTTATAATGATGTCATGATTCACAAATGTTCATGGAGCCTCCATGAACCTATTTCCATGGTGGCTGCCCCAGGCCAGGTGTGGGGCTGGAGTTGACACGAAGATATTTGTATGTGTCACTTGAGAAATTTATGTAATAAATTATATGGAACACTGAAATGCTCAAACATGTTCGTGTCATTAATATGCATAGCATATTATATTCTTGAGACAATAAAACACACTGTTTTTACTGCTATTCACTGTATACACACTTTATATTTAACTATCTATATTTTCATGCACCATCATGAATGAATAAACAGTTATGGTGAGTGTGATACCCTCATAATTCAAGCACAGCACAATGCCACAAGATAGTTGCCAATGCCACCTGACACATCAACATGCCTCCCAATATACTGTGCACATTGCTAACTGTAGCCATAACACTGCTATTATTATCAGAATCCTAGTCACTAAATTCTGAATATGAATAATTTTTCACAAGTTTATTGTCTAAAAGAACAAAAGGTCCAGTTTCATGATGTATAGTATATAGATGCACCAAATCATGGCTATGTGCTGTGGATGCCTGCCTCGCGCTGTGAACATCGTAATCTGCATTAGGTTCATTGATATTTGAACCTTGTACATAATTTTTATCACAGTCAAGATCTTCCATGACACTCATAGTTAAATAAACAGTCGCTTATTTATTTATTTCATCATTAAGTAACTTTGTGAGCATCAACTACATGGGAGTGCTGTGAGCTGCTGCTGCATGGCAGTGCTGTGAGCTGCTGCTGCATGGCAGTGCTGTGAGCTGCTGCTGCATGGCAGTGCTGTGAGCTGCTGCTGCATGGCAGTGCTGTGAGCTGCTGCTGCATGGCAGTGCTGTGAGCTGCTGCTGCATGGCAGTGCTGTGAGCTGCTGCTGCATGGCAGTGCTGTGAGCTGCTGCTGCATGGCAGTGCTGTGAGCTGCTGCTGCATGTGCTACTCATGGCTGCCCCTCTCAGTACTGAGAGCCACACATAGGAGGGGTTATCTTGAGGTTATCTTGAGATGATTTCGGGGCTTTAGTGTCCCCGCGGCCCGGTACTCGACCAGGCCTCCACCCCCAGGAAGCAGCCCGTGACAGCTGACTAACACCCAGGTACCTATTTTACTGCTAGGTAACAGGGGCATAGGGTGAAAGAAACTCTGCCCATTGTTTCTCGCCGGCGCCTGGGATCGAACCCAGGACCACAGGATCACAAGTCCACTGTGCTGTCCGCTCGGCCGACCGGCTCCTAATTGTGGGGTGCCCACAATTTTTTCCCAAGGTGACTTCTGTTTACTAGAGGTAAGAGGAAGCATAAGTGAGCTCTGTATACCCATGGAGTTTTAAAAGTCTGATGTGGTTTAAGGTCTCCCTGATTGTGTCACACAGCTTTTGAATAATTAGCAGGATCATCACTGGTTGTGTTGTGGAGTTGAAAGGCTAAGATAATTATATTTCTTGGGTATAGTACTGATTAAACCAAGTTCAAATTCAAGCATGGACTAACAAGATGCAAAATGTATACTTTTTACCTGAAAATTGAACTGTCACTGAAATATTGTACTTACAAATATTTAGCAATCAAATGTTTGACAAACATATAATGAAATGGAAAAGTGTAACCCTTCGCATTCTACAGGTGTTGTATGCTGCCAGATCATAAATTGCTTGTTGTTCAATAAAAGCCATGCAATTTCTGTGCTTTTTCAGTGTCTGTTTCTATTTGAGTTGCATCATTTACCGGTACTGTAATGCACATCAAATCTGCATGAGTCGCAGTCATACCATTTACTTGAAAAGCATCCATTAAGTATTATATCTAGCAGCATTATATTAAATATAGAGAATGCATATTAAAATCTAAGTCGTACTATGGCAATAGATTTTCAATGCATGAAAATTTCAATACATGTATTACTGTAATTTGTCCATATGAAGTACCTCACAGAAAATATTGCAACTTTTAACAGTTATTATTTGTGTAAGCTTATTAAAGAATGCCCAAGATAGCAATTATTTAATACATTGTGTGAAAACCAAACTAAAAACTACAACTATATACATTGTGTGTGTGTGTGTGTGTGTACTCACCTATTTGTGCTTGCGGGAGTTGAGCTTTGGCTCTTTGGTCCCGCCTCTCCACTGTCAATCAACTGGTGTACAGATTCCCGAGCCTACTGGGCTCTATCATATCTACATTTGAAACTGTGTATGGAGTCAGCCTCCACCACATCACTGCCTAATGCATTCCATCCATTAACTACTCTGACACTGAAAAAGTTCCTTCAAACGTCCCTGTGGCTCATGTGGGTACTCAGTTTCCACCTGTGTTCCCTTGTTCGCGTACCACCAGTGTTGAATAGTTTATCCTTGTTTACCCGGTCGATTCCCCTGAGGATTTTGTAGGTTGTGATCATGTCTCCCCTTACTCTTCTGTCTTCTGTGTGTATTCACCTAGTTGTGTTTGCGGGGGTTGAGCTTTGCTCTTTCGGCCCGCCTCTCAACTGTCAATCAACTTTTTACTAACTACTTTTTTTTTTCTCTCCACACCACATACACACACCCCAAGAAGCAGCCTGTGACAGCTGACTAACTCCAAGGTACCTATTTACTGCTAGGTAACAGGGGCATTCAGGGTGAAAGATTTGTTTCTGCCTGGTGTGGGAATTGAACCCGCACCACAGAATTACGAGTCCTGCGCGCTATCCACCAGGTTACCAGGCCCCTTGTGTGTGTGTGCGTGTCTGTGTGTGTATATATATATATATACTGTATTTTATATATATATATAATGTATATATATATATAAGTACAGTACAACAAACTATAGAGGGTTAAACCTAGAAATATAGTCTACTCTTAGAGCAGATATTTGCATTATTTTATGCACTGACTACCATGCAAGATATGCTATACTCACTACAACATAAGTTTTAAACATGCAGCATATTAAATTAATTTAGCAGATCCAGGTCATATAATTTATCAGAAAAGACAAATCCAGTACAGTATATGTTTACTGAATGTGAAGTATAAAAAAAATAACACTCCTTGTAGATATTCTGTATCAATAAGGAATTAATATATGACTAATGGTTTGGCATTTTATGCCTTTTATCTATTATTAAGACAAATTTTTGTGTGTGATCCAATCCTAGAACCACAGGCTATTAAATGATTTTTTTTTATTTCTTTGGGTAACCCTTTTCACTACTGCCCACAAGATGGGTATGGGGTGCATAATAAATGAACTAAACTTAAAAAAAAAAACTTTGGGTGACCACAGAACTGATAAATTTCTTCTAAAATATACCTGTACACCATTTCTTACCCATATTAAACTTATTTCAGTACATATTGCTAAAGTGTGTATTGCATCAGAATAATTTATAAATTATGATTTGGTTCAATTTAATCTAAACTCAAGAATGTAACATATTATTGTAACATAATATATACACCGAGAGGTGTTCCCGCTTATCACTGTGTATATATGCTGAGAGTACACTTTAGTCCTACACTATGTTCAGGACTTGAGGTTATCTTGAGGTTATCTTGAGATGATTTCGGGGCTTTAGTGTCCCCGCGGCCCGGTCCTCGACCAGGCCTCCACCCCCAGGAAGCAGCCCGTGACAGCTGACTAACACTAAAGTGTACTTGCCGAGTGGTTAGTCAAGGTCACTTGCATTGCCTTAATGACCCTCCAGAGGTTGATAGTCAAATCTCATATTTGATATCCAATATCTCAAATCATCAAATCTTATTAAACCTTCAAACTACTTCACTGTATTACGTTATGCCTGAAATGCTCTACGCATTAGTGACCATATTAAATGTACATAATGTACTCTGTAACAATTATCACACCTCTGTACAATATTCCTATGTATATTTTTTTAGATAAATTATTATTATTATTAAGATGTACTATGCTGGAGATGACATGATCTAGCATAAACTAAATACGTAGTGCCTGCATTACTCAGAGTAGCTTACATCATTGAGACTGGAAGTTAAGTCATACAGTATAATACAAAGGAATTATATAGACCAAAGGTATTACCTTTGGTCTATAATTCAAATTTTCAGACACCTGAGTGCAAACATTGTTAGGTTAATTATAATGTATGATGCTAAGAGATAATCCTCAATTATAATGACGAGAACTTTGGCAAGCCACCAGCTTCCTGTTCCCTTCAAGGCCACTATACATTGTGGTTCACAAGTAAATTTAGGTAAAACAGTTGCCTTGTTGAGGTTACTCTAGCCATGGGCCAGACTGTATCTATAGCACAAATTCATTTGCTGGCCAGATCCCTGCAGTGCGCTTAACCTGACAGACCAACAGCATATAAATACAGAATTTAATTATTTTACTATACTGTAAATGACTTGTATGCACTGTAAGATCAACATTATTAAGCTTTAAATTTGTTCTTTAAAAAACATTTCCTTCCAGAGCCCTTGTGAGAGAATTAACCTAATATATAATTAAATGTGCGGAAAATCCACAGAGAAATGGAAAAGAAAGTTGAACGTTTCGGCCGATCAATGCTGTTTCGGCCTTGATCAGCCGAAACGTTCATCTTTCTTTTCCATTTCTCTGGATTTTCCGCATACAAATGATCAGTGTTTCGTGCTCGTCAATTCCATATAATTAAATGTATTCCAGCTCCCTCAGCAATGTTAGTTTTGTCTCCCTTGTCATTATACATATTGAATTTCTTATGCTAGATACAGTATACCAAACTGGATCAATCTTATTTATACAGAACAGTTCACTAGCAAAACTTTGTTAAATCTAACTAGACAAATTCTTGTGAAGAATTGTGTTGAGTGTAAAAGGTCTTCTCAATATGGTGGCATCTTAGCAGCATTATCTGCACTTACTGCTTACGTTTACAATATCGCTTGTTACTTGACTTAAACAAGAGCTTCTAAAGCTTTGAAAACATATAAAGTAATTTACATTATTAGCCGAGCAAATTATTTTTATCGTGCTAGATAAAACAAATTTAATAGCCAGAAATTAAATACAGTACAAATCAAGTGTAGAAGACTTAAATATAATAACAAATATTTGCAATATATATCCACTGAAGTAATCAATAGATTATAAACTAGTGAAGGTTGTCACAATATATGTATATGTATAAATATATATACACATTTTAGCTTTATACTAGATTTATATACTGTTCTGTACTAACTTGTGTTTTTCTGGAATTGTAAATATAAAAATACAATACTGGAGCAAGTAATACTAATTATATAAATTGTTCACTTTGGATAAGAGCTACACAGATGGGTTATTTTTAACTATACAGGTATCTATAGCTCCATGCTGAATAGGGATAATATTTTCAAATAATTCATTTTTATCACAAATTAAATGTTCTCAGACTGATATTAATAAAGGAATGAAATTATCACACTCAGTCTTAAGCTTATCATCCTTATAATGAACTGTATTCATTTACAGTATCAGAAAACATTCATATCTCACACCCTGTTATTATTTGGTAAGTTAAAGTTAAACTTTAGACAGTTTCTATATGTTGTTCATTACTCCTTTTACGGTGGATAAAATAACACATAAACATGAGGAGCGTCCCAGATGCGAGGCTGGCCATAGAGAATAAAAGAACGCCATCATAGTTACCAGTGCTGTCCACAATGTAACCTGTAAGGCAAGATATGTATTAAACTACAGTACATTGGTTGTTTAATAACTATACTGGCACATAGAAAAACTATATACAGGGACACAAACAAAATCAAGACAAGACAGACGGAAAAGTTTAGGAAGAGGACCACTTTACTTCTGCAACAGCTTCCATTAGACCACACCATATTGAAGATGACCATTGTAGCGCCATAAGAAATTGTTTTAATGCAAACTCTGTGTTATCTAATCAGCCACGTATGCCTTAGCCAGTGGAAGTAGAAATGTTGCAGGGCAGAGAGACAATAAGAAAAGTGATAAATGGGAAATTATCTCTGTTCAGGTTTCGTATTGATACCAAAATGAGCGATGTAACACAAAAACTGACATGAAAAAAATGAAAAGAGTATACACATTTTAGTGGTTGCGCGTTCACGGGTAATGATCGGTCGATTTTTGGGTTTCTTGCGGGTGGCACGAGGGGCTTTTTGACCTTATATGCCTATACAGTATCTCTTTAGAGAATTCTATTGCGAACATTTTGATACCAAAATGAATGATGTAACACAAAAATTTACGTGAGAAAATACATTTTAGTGCAAGTGATGTGGATATGCGGATGTGTTCTCACTCGAGGGGTAACGCTTGGCCGATTTTTGGGTTTGCTGCGGGTGGCATGCCAGGCTTTTTGATCTTATATACATATACCCCTGTAGTGAATTCTATTGTGAACAATTTGATACTAAAATGAACGACATAACACAAAAATTTAGGTGAAAAAACTGAAAAGAATATACACATTTAGTGCTCTTGTACGCTCACGGGTAACGCTTGGCCGATTTTTGGGCATGCTGCAGGTGGCATGCTGGCCTTTTGCACTTTATATGCAGATACCCCTGTAGGAAATTTAATTGCAAACACTGTGATATCAAAATGAATGACATAACATGAAAATTGAGATGACAAAACTGAAAAGAGTACAGACATTTTAATCTGGCCACGCGCCGACACGCGAAACTCCCGGCCCTACTTGAAGTAGGCTGGGGCACACACACACCGAGGCGGCAAATTGTTAAAATATGGAGTAAATTTAATTTTAAATGTATCAGGACAAACATGAATACAAGTGGGGAAGAAATGTTTGGCATTAGCTATTTTCTGAAACTGATATTAAAGTGCAAACCAAATACTGTACAGAACATGAATTCAGCATTTGGTATTTTTATTTTTTTTTTATTTTTTTTTATTTATATATATATATATATATATATATATATATATATATATATATATATATATATATATATATATATATATATATATATATATATATGCAAGAAGGTACATTGGGATTGTGAGGATACATAGCATAGTAATTACATTCTTGTAAAGCCACTAGTATGCGCAGTGTTTCGGGCAGGTCCTTCATCTAAGAAACTTATAAGTAGGTAAATACTTGCAAAATTTATAAAAATGATAACAGATAACATTGTAGGTACTTACCAGCAATGGGTGCCCCAATAAGAGCTCCTAGACCTCCCAGGAAGAGAATGTGTCCAAACACTGTTATGAGCTTTTCTCTGCCAAACACCATGGATGGAGCAACAGCAATGAGAACATTTTGTCCACCGTACAGGAATCCAAATATTACAGTGAGTACGAGAAGTTGAGTACTTGTCTTGATAAATATATGACCAACCATCACCACTGCACATAAGAGCAGCGCCAAGCCATACGCAAACACTGAATCAATGCACTGCAAGCAGAGAAACATTAATAACTAAAGTTTTAAAATTAGCATCATAGTACAATACAGTAAAGTAATAATATACAGTATGCCTACATTATAATAAACCAAATTATGGTAATTTATCCAACGATTTTTGGAAATGTGTGGTGCAGCATAAAGCCGTTTTAATTATCATAGTATCATTCATAACATTATGATACATATTTTATAGTACATATTAAACACACTAGTATTTAATATGTATATACTGTACAATAATTCAAAAAATGTTATACTGTATATATATCTGAACTTAAAAATATCACTAACTTGTAAACTTCAAAGTACTGTACTGTAAATATTAACAAGTATTATGTAAAAAGAATGTGTTACTGACTTAACAAAGATATTATTGATGAATATAATATACTGTATGCATGAACAATTAAAATACATTCAAGTAGCACAAGTAAGCTATAGATTACTTAAATTTTATATGAGAAAATCCACAGGAGCCGTGATGAGGGGTCGAACCCATGCGCTAGGTGTTCCCACCAGTGTGAACCCCTGGTTTGGCTTCAGTGGAAGCCTTGGGAATACTCGAGGGTGCAGTAGTACCCAAGGTTGCAATTCTTGGGACCATGTTGTGGCATAGTCGACTAGAACGTGCACATCTGGGAACACCCAGTGCATAGGTTTGAACTCTCATCACGACTCCTGTGGATTTTTAAATTAATATATTACGAGAATGTGATTTCTCTGTCTAAGTTTTATATTTCATGCATACTATATATATGCACGGCATATGTACAAGTCAATGAATCGTGTGCAACTCATTATTAAAGCAATGGGTATTAACCATATGAAATCTGGGTGCATAATTCCAACTCCATTATTTATATCTGAAAATGTGTAGACAAATTAATTAACCCATGACGAGTTATTCAGTCTGTCTCATGCCTAATACAAAAAAATATACAAATATTGTAACTAAAACTTAAGTCAAAATACAATGAACTGGTTACCTAAAAAATGTCTATGCATTCAAAAATTTTTACCTTACTTGTTTTGTAGGATATACTAAACCACAAAATAATTTCACAACTGTATTTCCTGTTTAAAGGATAATACTGTACTAAACCTAGTAAAGAATACACTGCCCTCCCGATCAAATGAACTAATCTATACCAAACCTCATCCAAAATGCCACTGCATCCATCTTGTTTGAGTTTTGCAAATTGTTACAACAAGAAGTATTGTACTACTCTTTTTTTTTTTTCTTTATTCACCATAAATAACAATGTATTTCTTAATATTTCAAGTCCAAATGAATCAACAAATATTTTACATATATTACTGTTAAATTGTTCTGCAGTAATTATTAAAAGATATTCACTTATATAGTGGTCAAATAATTTGTTTTATCGAGACTAATATCCACCAAAATTCAGAGCTTCCATTGTAACCAGTATTTTGGGTGATCCCATTAGGTTGAAACAGGAGAGCACTGTGAATTGTACATTTCATAGGTTGCTATATTATTAATATTGTTAGTTATTTCATCATAACATTTGATCATCAAGTGTGATGAACAAGGGGTAACTCACCTTCATGTTCATCAAGAAGCCAGTAAACATTCTACCACAAAGGTCTCCAATACCAATGCCAGAAAGTGCCATTGAATAGTAGTCCCCTAAGCCCTTAGAGTCTGCAAAATCTTTATAGATAATGTACAGGCACAAAGTTCCCAACATTGCAAAGAAGACTGCAAAGTCCATGAGCCAGAATCGGGCATCTAAGAGAGGATGATTATTTGAACTCCTGTAAATAAAATATAAATGCAATAAATATTCATAGATGTGAATTAATGAAATACATTTACAATATTTTACTGAATTTACAGTATTTCCATTTGTAATAATATAAAATACAATCACTGATACATAAATGCAACATGGATAATATGTATTTAATTCAGAAGATTGAGGGATAAAATGAGTGGTATAAAAATTGATTTTGTTTCGTTTGAGATATTAATTTGTATGCTTTTGGGAAGTGGACAATGGAAAACAGTAAAGTGAAAATCTAAAATGCTCATAATCTGAGGCTTATTACTTATACTGTAGCAAGAACAATATATAAAGACAAATTGCAGAGGAAAATAAAAAAGCAACAGGGATGTGAAAAAATAACTATTTGCATCATAGTGAAGTCTGAAAATTATACAGTATCATTACACTGGAGTGAATGTGGCTCAATAAATAATGTTTAAATAGGGGTGGAGGAGCTCTATTGCCTATAGTGTAATTATAAAATAAAATATTACCTTGTAAAATTGTTAATAACAGCTTGCGTACGTAGTTTCATCTTTTCAATGAGAAGCAAACAAAAAGATCTTCGTTTCCTCTGAAATGTGTCCTGTGGAATGGAAAATCTTTTATCTGGCAAAAATCATGATCGGCTTATGTGGAAATAGGAGCGTTTGCCTAAAAAGTTAATTCTAAGCAATCTTATGCTTCTAAGTTACTCCTATGGGAGTATGAGTTCTTGACTCATCACACTTATGGATTCTGGGTTTGATTCTCAGGTGGGACTGAACTGGCTGGGAATGTTTCCTTTCACCTAATAGCTGTGTTCACCATGCAGTAAATAGATACCAAGGAATTAGGCAAGTGTTGTGAGGTTGCAAACTGGAAAGTCTGTAGTTTGTTCTTGAGGGGAACCTCGATACAAGCTTAAATTATATAATTATATACACAGGCTTCCTGTCTCTAACAAAACAAATTATTACTAATTATAGCAATACCTTTCATTGTGTTTTTTCAAAACAACATATACATACACCACACACACACTTGTCCAAATACTGTATATTTAAGCTGACTTTCCATGCTTTTTACTGGAATTCTTGTTCAATGAAAATTTTGGCCTTAACCGAAGGCTGCCTATTGATTCCCTGGAAGGCAAGACCAAGCTGGCTACTAATGCATTACAGTCTCTTTATGCACAATTATATGGTAATTTCCATGATATTACCATATATTTACCAGATTCTCATACAAACTCAACTAGCTGACAAATATTCAGTCAAATAAGGAAGATACCTTTATGTCTCACGTAATTTTCAGTAATGATTTCAGCTTTAATAATGAATTAACTTATTACAACAGTAATACAGAGAATTCTGGCTTTATTAACATTCATCTTTCATACATTCTCCCAGGTCCCCATGTACCCAATTCATGTATAAAATCATTGTACTAACTCGCTGGAGCATCCCTTTGAAATTTGCGGCAGCGTGAACAACCGTGCTGCAGCCACATGGGGTACAGCATTGTATGGGTGGGCATGCGTGGGTACATCATATGGTGTAGGTCTGTGGGTGGGTGGCTGGATGTATGCGATACACTCCCATACCCAGTGGACTCAAGTCCTCAATGACTCACACTCACGTTTGATTGTGTATACTCATGAGGCCAATTACAAAATGGCAGACCACCAATACAGTGCACATGTATTTATATTTATTTATTCATGTAATTATACTACTTCACTCTTCAAACACAGTTAACTTTGACAAGAAGAATAACTCCATCATTCACCTTACCTGAATAAACATTTATTTATTTATTTATTTATTCAAGGTAAAAAAGTTTTTTTGTTTTACTGATGCCCCAGACTAATATAACGTATATCAGTCTGATAGCTCCAAGGAGCCGGAGGAGCTCCCTACAGAAATATTTGTTTTGTGAGGATTTTTGGTGGCATGGGAATGCATCTCCCACTTATAACATTGTGCCAGTGGAAAATTTTATCCGCGGTCTGAACAAATGCTTTACAAACATATTATCAGAATGTAACGTGTTCGTAATTGGAGAATTGCCGGTACAGGCAATTACATTATGAGTGGGCAACTGCCTTACTAAGGGCTGATTCCACATGAAAAAGTGAATACCCAAAAGTTTTGAAAATTTCAATCAGTATACTAATCTGCACAGAATAAAATAATGTTACAAAATGAGATACACAGCACTTAATGAATTATAGTAAAAGTATTATGGAATAAGAGTAAATGAGTAAGAGTTACCATGTGTTCATCACTTAAGCAATGATTTTCCTCCTCTTCATCACAACAGCTCAGGTCACAATCACCCTCGCGTAAGAGAAACCGAGCTCGGCCGCCTCCATAGCCCGAGACTGTACCCTTCAAGGTCTCAACTTCTCTCTCTGAGTAGGGATGATTATGGTGTTGATACAGATCCATTTGTGATGACTTGCAGAAACTTTGAGGGTTTGACTTAATGCCGCTTACACCAGCCTGAGAAAAAAGTGGAAAATACAGTGGAACCTCGAATAACGAATTTAATCCGTTCGGGCGCCCCGATCGTCATATGAAACGGACGTCATACAAAACGAATGTCCCTATTGACAATAATGGAAATCAAATAATCCGTTCTACCACCGAAAAACAACAATACGATATTCGATGTTTTAAATAATGGAGCAGTCTACCTTACATACACTGAACAAATCTTTATGACATTTTTCATTCTTCAAATTTGTTCAATTTTTTCATTTGTTTTATAGCAAAGGCTCATATTCAATCAAAACCCTGTTTGACAACTATTAACAGAGGAGGGCTAGAATATTAACAAACATTGCTATAAAGTGTCTAATCTCTCAATCATTCACTTGTAATACCTGAGAATCCCGATGAGAGCAAAAGCTGTGGTTGTTGGACTGGAGACCAAAGTCCCCATGAGAATCTTTGTTGTGGAAGCTAAACTGATTGGAACGCAGGTCAAAGTGGGACAATTCTGCATGTGAATCCTTATTGCAGAAGCTGTAGCCATTGGACCTACGAAAAAAATATTTTAATAGCTTACATAGAGACAGCAGACATGTGGAACTCATCACCTACAGTACCAGTTATGAGAAATAAATTCCCTATTAATTGTAATTATTTTTATGATCATAAAGAGGGTGCCCCACATACTTAACAGTTAATCATTGGTGCATTAGGTTTTTATTCATAAAAGTTCTAACATTAGTAATGTTTACAATTAATTTTTAGAAAGAGTGAAAAATGTGGTATATTAAAGTTATCAAATACTTTACTAAGCTTGAAACACTTTTGCTTACCAGAAAATAATTGCATAGTTGGCATTCTGGTATTGGTCATAAAGTTGTCCCTTGCAGTACAAAAGTTAAGAAAATTACAATAGTTATGCTTTTAATTTCTTGCTTGTGGGAACACGCCTTCCTCTACATGATGGCCTAATGTTGAAACTTAAAATTTGAAACTTCAAACTTTAAATGCATTCATGTGGTAAGTAACTTTTAAAGGAAAGCTTGAAACAGTTGCCTAATAATTCCAAAAGCTAGTTTGACAGTCAAATATGTTAAGCAGTACCTATTTCTCAGTGCTGTACTGAGAAGCAATAATAGTTTAAAAGAAAGAAAGAATGAAGATAATTTATAAAGGGCAACATGATAATAAAAAATAATAATAATAATGTTTATTCAGGTAAAAGTACATACATTCAAAGTGAGTTACAAATGGAATGTTGGATTTCTAGATAGAGGTAGTACATACTATGCCTAAAGCCACTAATACGCACAGTATTTCGGGCAATGACAGAAGACAAGACAGGTACAAGGAGAAAAAGGAAAGAGCAATAGGTGACATTATAGAGTCTAGAGTAAAGATTATGAAAAGGAGAAAGTTTTTCTGCTCTATCTGCTGCATAGTACAGGGTATCCCCCGTGTCATGAGGTAGCTGTACCCCAATTGCTTTATAGTGTGGACCTCTAGTGTTATCCAAGTTTTTCAATATTTTAATGACTAAGAAGCATTTCCATAGATAATTACTGTAGCAACAAAGGAGCATTATAAATTAAATATCTTTAAAGATGTTAAGATCAAATTTTATTCCAGACACTTCATATATCTGCAGCTTTCTATAATGCACCAGATTATTAGTTCCAATTAGCTACCATATGTCAAATACTCTATGTACTATATGTTGGATTTTTTAAGACTGTGCCTTTTTAAAACTCAAATATTTGTACAGTACCTGTATATCCAAACAACTTACCTTAAACTTCCAACAGCAAAATGTGATCCTCTGGAGCAAAAACTGTGTTGGTTAGACCTGATACTGAGATCGTAGTGACTATTGCCTCGGGTATTGGCCTGAGAGTCATTCAGGCTCAAGATGGAATGTGAGAGATAACTTGCACCAGCCGACAGACGTAGGCTTGAAAATGACCTGAAGAAGAGTAGAAACATGGGAAGCTGTTGTGGTCATATAAATAAAGTAATCTGCACATTTGTTGCATCCTGTACCTAAAAATGTTATTTATTTATTTTATGTTGCATAAAATAAAATACAAAATAAATAGAACATTTAATGAAAAGTCTATATGGTCCTGTGACATTATGTGAATATATTGTTTCATTTGTGGCATAAATATTTGCACTTTATCAATCCCTCCAAGTTATTTCATTCATGTACTACAATGGCAGACCTACAATTTGTGAGACCCTGAAGCTTGAACTGTTATGGGGTGACCCTTCACAACAAGGTCACCACAAATGTTTTAAAAATTTTACCACTACATTTCAGATTTTGATTAAAACTGAAATTTAGACCCAAAATTTGTAAGCAATGTGGACTAAAGTTGCTCTTGGGGCCCATCCATTAGAGGCCCGAAGCTCAGGTTTTATTAGTTTCATAGTAGTTCTGTCCTTGACTGCATATACAGTACACTGGGTATATAAAATAAAAATTTAAGAAAAATTATTTATTATATGTATGGTAAACAGCATGGTCCCTGTGACAATCTGATAAATTTTGTTTTATTTGTAGTACAACCTTTCACTAGAAACTTTAGATGACTACAGTACACTGAAATCATCTTCAAGTCACATCTAATGCTTATGAGAAAAAAAAATCCTTTGGGTAAGCATCTGTTGTTTACTTTTTCCTTACAGCAGGTAGGAGAGGAAAAATTATTCATAACCGAGTGCTCTGGTGACCAACAGCTCACAATCTTGACCCTGTTGTATATGCAGTAGTGTGTTTGACAATTACAGTAGCTATGTTCTTCATTAAAGGCTGTTCAGTAAAAAATAACAAAATTCATAAAGATATCTATACTGTACCTGTCATTTAGAGTCTTTTCAAAAAGAATTCGACTCTTTGAAGATGGAAATCCTTTATTTGCCATAATGGAACCTTGGTTATCTTCTGTCTGCTGCTGAAGACTGAATGTGTCTTCGGGACTTTGGGCCAAGGGCTCAATGGGGAATACCAAAGCACCAAAGACAGCTATATGAAAGCTTAGACCTGCACTCCAGATGAAAGACCCACGCCATCCATATTCAAGTAGGAAGAATTCTGTTAAGGAACTCTGCAAAGTTGAACAAATGCATAAATACAAAATAAAAAAAAAAAAACTTAAAGATTACAGTTATATAAAATAAAGCAAGAGTATAGATGATAATTTACGTGATTTATGATATAAATCACATACTGTACCTGTCATTTTGCAAATTATACAAATTTTTGTATTTGTATTTGTATATACAGGGTACTGTACTATACATTTTTAGCTTGACCAAGGTCTTGGACATATTGTTATGGTGAGTTTTACAGACCATCTAATATAATTATGTTAACATTTACAGTCATAAGAATAATAATCCTTAAATATAAATTAAAACAAAATCTACAGATGGCAGTCATACCATTTTTGTGATTGATCTTCAGATACTTAGGATATTGTAAATCCTGCAGTGCAATTAACATGTGTACATAACTTCCCTTTGCTCTTCCCCATCCTAGGATCTTCTTCACTCATATTTCCTACATTGAACTATTTTTGTCAGCTTCATCATAATACTTCTGCTTTATTTTTCCTTGCATTTCTCATATTCATAATTTTGGTTCTATTTCTTTCTACTTCACTGGCTCCTATTAACTTCTATAAATTGTTCAAAAGGCTTACCAAACAAAATATGCCCAGACCAATGCCAATCATTGCAGAAGAAGTGGCAATGGATTGCTTCTTATCAAAGTACTGTGCCAGGGCGATGATTTGGCCAGAATAAGCAAAGTTCATTCCACATGCTGTAATACAAAATAAGGTGATGAGATTAAGGCAAAAAGAGTGCTAATTACAGTGATGGGAAATGAGGTTAAAACTGGGATGGCAATGAGGTGTCTGATTTGCAAAGTGAGTTTGAGAAAAGCAAAAAGTCCATGGCAACTGGAGATTTTGTGGGGTAAATGAGTGTGATAACATATGAAAAGGATTTAGAAGGGAACGGATTAAATTTAGATTTAGAATACAGTATATGTATAGGATAATGAACAAAGATATGAAAAGGACAAAATAAGGTAATGTATAAAAAGAAAATAAAGAGAGAAGAGCTATTTAAAAATGAGTAGAGGAAAATACGGACTTTTTTAGAGAAGACCGCATCAAATTATGAGGTAAAAGTATATGACAGGAAATATAAACACTAGGAAAGATGCTAAAGGACAGTACAAATGAGAAATCACAAGAAATGAAAGGAATACTGAAAGGTACAACTATAATTACCAATCTGCAATATTTTTCTGTGTAATACCATAAGGAGGGAGATTCTGTCTGAATACTTCTTGAAGCTAAATTATAAAATAATAAATCTGGATATAAATTTATAACAAGAGTTAAATTTTGAAAATATTGTATTGTATACTAATAATCTTCATGGTTTCTTGATAAAATGGCTAGCATAATTAAGACCAAGAAAGCCCATAATCCACACTGTTAGTAGTAGTATGGGTAACCAGCTATCCCACTTTCAGCAGATTGAAAATTTAACACTTTTGGTGGAGGGGGAAGGGGGAGGGAAGCACAGGAATGACAAGAGACTAAATGTTCATCTTTAGAACTACGCAAGTCTCATACACTAAGAGATAATATGCAACAGACTAGAACTAATACTTTCACTAAATTGGGTTTGAAAGATCTAAGACCCAAACATGTGATCCAAGACCAAACAAGACTGATTAGAACATAACTGTAATACCCTGTCTGCCATAACAACTGAAACTGGGTCTTAGAAACTACAAGAAAATGGAATTAATTATACACCATTTCAGCTTCATACTGATACAGAATATCATGATTACCCCAACCCACACACATTAAATAATGTTGTAAATAATGAATTAAAAAACCACTTATGGATGTCAACCAACAAACTCATACTATACATAGAAAAGACCTACCACATCTTATTTGGAAGCAAATCAACAAATGCAATTCAGCTTCAGATAGACATTGTTAACATCAGCAATAAAAATTATGGAAATTTCCTTGGCCTATACTTAGACAAGAGACCCAACTTCAGCACCCACATACAACACAAAGAAAATCTCTAAAATGATTGGTATACTCTCTAAAATCAGATAATATACCTAATTCTGCTCTCCTCTCACTATACTACTCACTAATCTATCTCTATCTTACATATGGTATCTGTGCATGGGGTTCAACCACTGCAAACTACCTCAAGCCCATCATCATCACCCAGCAAAAATCTGCTATCAGAACAATAACAAACTCTGCTTTCAGACAACACTCAGCCCCCCTGTTTAAATCCCTAAACATGCTAAACATAAACTCACTTCATACATTCTCTTGTGCCATTTACATTTACAAAATCCATGTTCTGAAACTCTCCCTGGACAGATATAATAGAACCCATGATCACCACACCAGAAATAAATATATCTTTGATATCCCCAGAGTCAAACTTAATCTGTGTAAACACTCTATGCAAATAAAGGGACCTGGTCTATGGAACTCATTCCCTAACGAATTGAAAAGCTGTCCAACTTTTGCCTTATTCAAAAACAAAACCAAAAAGTACCTAATTTCATCTTCATAGTTTCCTACCTAGTGCTATAAACTTGCACTGTAACTAGTGCTACCCAATCCCCCCAATATATGTACCTAAGCCATACAACTTTACCATTGTAATCTTTGCTATCATCTTATATCAGAGTTGTTATATTAACACATATTTCATTGCATTATACCTTGAAATAATCCTCACATTCTGCTACCATGTACCTGTTGATAACCCTCAAATTTTACTTTAATGTACCTATTAATCTTTGTCAAATTTTCTTACAATGTACCTGTTAACATTTTATAAATTTTACTAGAAATTACCTACTTAAAATTATCTGTTAGATTAAGGACCTGCCCGAAATGCTATGCATACTAGTGGCTTTACAAGAATGTAAAAACATCAATGCTATGTACTCTCATAAACCCAATTATCTTCTTTTATATATATAAATATATAAATAAATAAAAGGCCCATTAGGACTATAAGGGATCATTAAGTCATTATGTGTTTATCAAGGAATTGAGGGCTCATGAAAGCTTTAAAAGCTCATCAGGGCCACTGGGGCTCAACAGGACTCTAAGGGTTCTTCAAGGCATTAATGGCTCATCAGGGTCTTAAGACAGGATAAATTTGACTTTAAACTGTGCAGCCAGTATGTGACGAGTAGTTTAGATTAACATTTATCAGAGTAATTATGAAGAGAAAGCACTAAGCCAGTGTGACAATATAAGTTAGGTTTATCAGTGCACTCAGAAAATCCTGGAAGATAAAAGACTCCAATAGCTAATCGAAACCCTGCATTAAAATTTCCCAAACAATTTTTCAAAGATCAATCATTGTATAATATGTATGGATGTATATTCCTAAAGAATTTAAGTGCTTATTCATTCAGGACAGGAACTGAACAAATATAGCACAAATTAGAAAGAATATGAGACATTTGAGCTCTGTGGACAGTTTAATGGCTGATACCATGTAAACTACAAATATTCTGGATATAAATTTATATTCAGTAAGTGCAAAATACTAAATAATAATTACAGTTCAACACCAAAGTAAATATTGTGTCTAATATTGAAATTTGTAGCTTTAATTTCATCTTTCACAGAAAAAGAGCATTAGAAATGGAAACACGCAAAGAGCACATGCTGCATTTAAATAATTCCATGGCAAAGCGTACTAGAAAAAGTTAGCAGGCTTGCTAGTTTGATACATAAAAGTATATACAGCTAGTACCCATTTACTGGGCTTCCCCAGATTAGCAACTGCTGTTTTAGTGAAAACAAGCGAGAGATGATTATAAGGGTGCATGACAGAACTGGTCCAGGGTCTGGGTTATCAAGTATGACACCTCTGACCTAATAAGTTAAATATTTGGAGTCAAGAAAGTCTGTGTAGAGAAACAATTCAAGAGGAAATAATATTAACTTTCATCTTTTCACGCATCTTACTGATCCATAATTTGGAAGAATAACTGAAAAATGTCAACCATTGCTAGAAAACAATTAAACATAACCTAGTATTAAAATATAATTAACATTAATCCATTTTAACACTTCAAAATTCATATGCTGAGGACCATGAAGCCTGATTATTCTATCATGCACCTTCATTAGAGCCAACAGCATGTCTGCAACTCCTAAGTGTAAGTTGTTCTATTGCAAAAAACCTCAGGAGAATGTAGGTGCATCCTGATTGTCTATGAAATATATTATGAAAATGGGATTGTGTAATTTGTCATTCTGGGGGGGGGAGGGAAATTTAATAAATAAATGAATCAGACTAGGAGGAAAAGAAGCAGAATGAGATGATACAATGAAATATTCTATTATTATGAAATTATTATGAAATACTTGTTATGGGTCAGAGAGTAACTGCATTATGATATACGGTAATTACATGTACCGGTAATGTCAAAATTCACATATGTACACATAAATACTGTATAATCAAGAAAATTTTATATACCGCACATGATATATTTTGAGGTTATTACTGTATTGTATTTACAGTTGTTTCCCAAACTGCCTGCGAGAAACGGAACAGGCAGTCATACGCACCTGATGACAGCCTCGACTTCACTCTGTTTTTCTCTCCTGAAAGTGACCATTAACCCCCGAAGAGGAACTCAACATCCTCACCACCTCATCAAGATTCATCATTGATCATCACCAACTCCATCATCATCATCATCATCATGCCACTAAGTGGGCGATGGCGCAGAAGACTGCTCGATTTCTTAGCTAAGAGTTGATATCTTCTTTAAAGTCTTCTGAACGCCTACACACTCCAGGAATTCTGATGAATTGCTGTAAACAATTAAAAGAGGGCAAGAGTGGTTATGTGCAGATGTACTGCAGTTGCATTGGGGACCGCATTCATGTGATAGACGTGCTCTAAGGCAATATGTGGCAGCACCCTCTGGCCTGTCAGCCTGCCTTGGATACTCCTAAGCTTCAACCATAATCTGCCTGAAATTAAAGATTGCACGAGGACAAGCATCAGGGCAAAGGTCATAAGGTGAACAAGTCAAAAGGGTGGGAGGGAGGGGTGTGAACGCTCACTGACTATCACTATCACACTCACTGACAGTTTTCATGCCTATTCCTCATGTATAAGACAACTGTGCCAAACAAATGAACAAGCGAGGGGGCGTAGCAGAGGTGAAAAAGGTAGTGTTGGGTCACAACTAGACCATTGGAGAATGGCTTACCTACAATAATACCATAGGTCACAAAGAGCATCTCCAGCGATGTTGCAAATGCAGATGCCAAGTAACCCATCACCATCAAGACTGAGCCAAGCATCAGAGACAGACGGCAGCCCCAACGCCGGATGAACATTGAGCTTATGGGTCCTTGAGAAATTTAAGCATTCAGTTAATGACTGTTCCTTTTAAAGTACTGTACAGTAATTTTGATCAAAATGTTAAGTGATGTAACAGTATAACAGCAGTTGCACAGTTAGAAAATTGTGTGTGTTTGTGTATTTACCTGTGTATGCATTTATTTTTTGTATGGGTCCACCCTATTATCTTTATGTATGTCTGTTTGTGTCATGTTTGTTTGTATCCAAGCTGAAATATTAATACACAAATGTGCATTTATATCTCCTTTATTTATGCTGAATTTCCCATCAATCAGATTTTAATAAATAAAGTAATACCACTAAATTTTTCCCCCTTTCCCATTGGAACTCTGCATTTATTCTTTGACATAGAACGAGGAAGAAGCCTATGTGGAAGGAACATATTGATTACCACAACAAACACACAACCATGAGAATAGAAGGAAGCAGGAAGGCACAGAAAGGCATAAGCAATAAAACAATAGAGAATATACAACAAGCAGTAAAAATCCTGTGAAGGACAGAAATGGACAGAAATCCTTATTATTATTGAATTAAAGTCAATAAAACATTGCAGTCCTCCAAGCAGTACTGCATTGTGCAAGTCAATAAAACAGCAGTCTGCAATGTGGGCAAGTGACCGAAGAATTTACATGCTATTATAGGCTTTCATTAGTGACTGTAGTTAACAATGTTTGTACATGAACATATAGGGAAGAACTGACCTCCAAGCATGAAGAAAGCATTCACAAGCGAGCCCATCCAAGCTGTGTAGGAGCGAGACTTGCCAAACTCAGTCAGCATTTGCACAAAATACATCCCAGTTGTGCACAATAGTCCTGAAAATATGTAATAAGAAAATCAGGAGGTCGAGTTGGAAAATAAATGGCAACATTGCTTATATGATGATAATGCAAAAATAATATGTATATTCAGGGCAAATTTAATCTTGTCACAATTTTACTACAGTGTTTAAGTTTACTACTGTAATTCAATTTTAGCAAGAAACGTTACAAAATAAATACAAATACAAATTTGTATTCAGTTAAAGTACGTACATACATACAAGGTGAGACACAAACATTGATGGATTTATAGATAGAGCTAGTACATACAATGCCTAAAGCCACTATTACGCAAAGCGTTTCGGGCAGGAAAAACACTAAGACTAAAACTAATACTAATTGAGATTAAAGTATAAATTGTGTTGAGAAAAAAAATGAAAAAAGGGGGGGGGGGGTGACATGGCAGAAAAAAAAGCAAAAATACAATTTGGTCAACAAACAGTATTGTTTAAAATCGTAGACATGGGTTGACATTTAGGGGTGAGGTAGGTTACATTGAGTTAATTAAGTAGTACTTACTTTTTATCTTAAACTGGTTGGGAGAGGTACAGTCTTTAACATAATTGGGAAGGTCATTCCACATTCGAGGTCCTTTGATTTGTAAAGCATTTCTAGTTTGACTAAGTCGTACCCTTGGAATATCAAATAGGTATTTGTTTCTGGTGTGGTGCTCATGGGATCTGTTACAACCTTCTAGGAATCTTTTTGACATTACAGTTCAGCATTTTATATATATAAAATACACATGAGAGGATGTGCAGTGACTTAAAATCTAACATATTCAGAGATTTGAGTAAGAGTACCTAGTGATGTCTGAGGCCAGAGTTAGATATTGTCCTAATAGCAGCTTAGTGTTGAGTAATTAGAGGACGTAAATGATTTTGGGTAGTAGAACCCCAAGCACAAATACCATAGTTGAGATAAGGATAGATGAAAGAGTAATTGTGTGTCACCAGGAGAGGGCGAGGTACATAATATCTGATCTTAGAAAGAATGCCAACAGTTTTTGAATTTTTTTTTTATATATTTAGAATGTGTCCCTGGAAATTTAGCTTGCGATCAATGAGAAAGCCAAGGAAGTTGCCATCTACTTTGTTACAAATTTGGGTATTGTTAATCCTGAGATTTATTTGATTTGAGGATTTATTGCCAAACAAAATATATTAAGTTTTGTCAATATTGAGGGTGAGTTTGTTGGCAGTTAGCCAGTGATGGACTTTATTTAGCTCAGTATTCACTGTGACATTTAGAGCAAGGGGGTCAGGACTGGAGTAAATGAAGGTCGTGTCGTCAGCAAATAGAATTGGTTTGAGATGTTGGGAGGCATTTAAAAGGTCATTAATGTAGATGAGAAAGAGGAGAGGGCCTAGTATCAAATGATCATAAACATTTTGTGTGTGCTCGTGTGTGCACACAAATACTGTACCACCTGTGTTAAATCTGTCTTTATCTACCTTGTCAATTCCCCTGAAAATTTTGTATGTGGTAATCATATCTCTCAAACTCTTCTGTTTTCCAGCAACATGAGGTGCAATTCATGAAGCCTTTTCTCATAATGCATACCTCATAGTTTTGGAACTAGTCTAGTTGCATGCCTTTGAATCTTCTCCAGCTTCGTGTTATGCTTGACAATATATTTCCCTGATTTACCTAAGGGCCACTAACCCTAGTGGCCTCGATGTGGACAGGAAGCCGGCGGCTCGTCAAAGGTCCCCACATTTGCCTTGATGATCTTTTCCAGGTATATTTTGAAATTCAGCACAATATTAATCTAATCTTTGTTTATTGTGTCAAAATTTCTTACAATGTACATGTAAACATTTTTTTGTAGATTTTACTGGAAATTATCTACTTAAAATTTTCTGTTAGATTAAGGACTTGCCTGAAACACTATGCGTGCTTGTGGCTTTACAAGAATGTAAAATCATCATTACTATGTACTCTCTTAACCCCCAATGTACCTTCTTGTATATAAATAAATAAATAAATAAATAAATAAATAAATAAATGTCAGCAATGATCACAAGTTAAAGTTGTATGCTTAGGTACATATTTATTTATTTATTTATATACAAGAAGGTACATTGGGGGGTTAAGAGGGAACATAGAAATTAAGTTGAATTTACATTCTTGTACAGCCACTAGCACGCATAGCATTTCGGGCAGGTCCTTAATCAATTTTCCCTGGAATACGACCTCGTCAAATCATTTAACAACCAGGTACCCATTTTGTTGTTGGGTTAAACAGTGGCTACAGTTAAGGATTTGCGCCCAGTAAATCCTCCCCGACCAGGATACGAACCCACGACAAAGCACTCCCGAAATGCCAGGCAAGCGACTTAACCCTTAAACAGCGCAAATCATACATGTATGATTTGAGTAACTATCACAAAATGGCGCAAATCATATATATATATATATGATTTGCGTATTTAAAATACAGTAGTTAAAATAGTCCTACACATATATAGAGCTCACATCTGCTTCCTCAGACCACCAGTAACCATCCCCCACCTTGAAAAAAAAATTCAGAGTCCCTCACTTCCCTTCTAGGGCTTTGTAAGAAAATGATGACCATTGCTTGGCAACATCACCATCCAGTATCTGAATGTTTAGGGCAGCCATAGAGGAGACACTAAACTTTTTGCAACAGCAAATGAGTGATTACCATGTATATATTTGATGCAAAATGTGTGCTATATGCAATTTTAAGATTTAGGCTTAAAATATATTTATACATGTATTATGATGAATAAGTATGTGGGTGTCTTTATATCTTTACTTGTATATCCATACATACTTATATTTTCAAAGTTTTACATAATAGACAGTAACTTTGACACACAAATACAACCTGTTAGCATGAAAAAGACTAAATAAATAAATTGAGAAACAATGAAAATAAATCAACAAAGTTATTCCTATGCGGCACCTCAACTAAAAATATGCAACTTCTCCAGGCCACTACAGCTAAGCCAAAAGAGATAGAGACTTTTTATTTGGATTTTTGTGCTTCCTGAAGGGTAATTAACAATGTCATAAGAAAAAATAATTTTTTCAGAATTTTTTTTTCTTGAGCGCCCTGGGGATGTTTGCTATTTAACAGTTAGCGGTTTAAGGGTTAACCACTTCGCCACGGGGACATACTTAAACAAGAAACTCAACTTCAGCACCCACATACAACATATAATTAAGAAATAAATACCTATTTAATATTCCAAGATTGCGACAACCAAACAAGAAATGCTCTGCAAATCAAGGGGACCCCAGAATGTGGATTGACCTTTCCAATCACGTCAAAGGCCGTACCTCTCTCTCAACCAGTTTAAGAAAAAATCTAAGTACTACCTAATAAACTCCATGTAACCTACCTTAAATTTAATGCATATACAATTTAAAATACAGTAATAGCAAAACACAATTCGCCGCCTTCCTCTCCGTGTTGAGACCACTAAAGATGGTGGCCCTCATGTAAATTCATGTAAATTTACAAAAATTACTCACTTGTGTGGATACAATGCGTCACAAGCACTTCAAGGTACAACTTACCCCAATAGATGACTATGTATTCAATAAGAGCAACCTTCTGAGGATCCCTAGGACCATCTCCGGCACTACACCCATTGACATCGGCCAAGAAGAAACTGATTATGTACTCTACTTCGAGAGCAAGAAGGACCTCAAATTACTGCAGGACTACAACGCCGAAATGCACACAGCGCATCTCGCGCCCAGCTACCCAAGCCAATTCCTTGCCGCAAGAACGGTCTTTATCAATGAGACCAGTCAATGTTGCTGTTGTTGTTGAGTTAGGGGCGACGACGATCGTAGGATCGGATGCGCCCCGGCGTACCCGTTAAGGGTGAATCGCAAAGTCATGAAAGGTGGAACGCCAAGCCAAATCGCAAAACGAGTGACGCCAATCTAGAAACTAATATGCCATACGGCAAATAATCGCACAGTCAGGCAGATGATTGGGGAGTCCCAGAAGTCCCTTGGTGACAAGCACCGGCCCCGCTCCACACATCAGGTAGCAAAACAAAAACTCGGCCCCCAACTAAAACGCAAAAAGTCATCCAGTGTCCTCCAGTAGAGCAGAAGCCACTTGCCCACCACGGCTGAGGGTACACCAGGAACCCACCAAGACCCACCAACCCCCGGCACCTCTCGGCCAAGCCGGCCCCTGAACACCGCCACCCCGCCGGGAGAACCAATCAGTACACGTAAAAAAAAATCTATCAACAATCCTGTGACCCAAGGCGATATGTGCGCCAGGCGTCGTAAAATCAGACCGCTGAAAAGGGATGCCAAACGGCAGTAGCAAAGCCAAAACGCGAAAACAAGACGTGATCAGGCGGCCGAGGTGTCCAGACGTCCGCTCGGCGTCAAGGTTGAACCAGGAGTCCAACCAGTCAGTGGATCTCTGATAAGCAACCAAGCAACATTTTCACCAACATAGAGGACGAAAACTAAAACTTGTGTGTATTTTCTGGGGCGCTCCTCGGCGCAAGCGCCATACCATTATAAGCTCACCTTCACCTCACTATCCGCAGTTACCCAAGCCAACACATAAAGACTACTGCTTTGGTATAAAAAACTAGTGCACTAAAAAAGAAACAAGGAAAAAGGAGGATATCACAGTAACAAGGTTATCGCGAATAACCGAGCTCAATTACGAGCTCACCATAGCCCGTGCTACATGGACATTTCGTTCTGAGTAGCTAAATCTAAAACAATAACATTTAGTATAAAGGTACCACCCTACCGAGTGAAAAAGGAACGCTTCTACGATCTAAGACAGTGTCTAAAGTGCTACCAGTCACGCATTCTACCAAGGATTGCACGGAACGCATTCCCAAGTGCGGCATCTGTTTGGAGGACCACCACTACACCGTCTGCAAGGTCGAATTCCAATTAACGCTGCCTTGTCTGCAATGGTGACCACGTGGCCATCTCACATCGCTGTCTGCGTCGATAGGAAGAAATAAAGAAAATTGAGGACTTGAGGCGTCCAGCCGCTACCGCTATACCGTCGCCATTCAATATCCAAGCAGCCATTTTGCCTGAGCTTCCGGGAAGAGGCTCCATGGCACAGCTGCTGTGAACGCTGCTGCGCTCACAGATCTATCCACTGGTGCCATACCCGTTCCCGCAGCTACTGCGGAAGAAACAACACCGGAACCGACGCCTTCACATAAGACGACATCTGCGGCAGCTCCACTCGATCATCGCCCCTGCAGCTGTACAGTCGGCCTAGGCGCTTCCCTCAACTGCAAGACCTGCTACCACATAACCTCCAGGGACCACCACCTCCACCGCCTCTTCTATCAACTCCTCCGATTCGACAGATGAAGAACTCTCAGTTGGAACACATCTCCCCTTTATCAGAAGTGTAACTACAGGCCTACAGATTTTCTCCTGGACGCGACACCCACGACCTTGATCGACAACACTGCTCTATCTACCAGAAGTAAGACTACCATAAAGACCAAGAGAAAGAAGTAAGAAGAGCCCTGAACCCAGAAGACCGACGAACGAAGACCTGAGTAACACCAACATCTATCACGCTGCCTGAGAACCGAACCCCTGCGCGACGCTCACGTGTGCAAAGGAATAACGAAGAACGCCATACAGTATCACTGCAAGCAAATACCCACGGTGGTTGGCCCACCAAGCTGTATCTCCCTCCTCCGACTTGTATATTCTGTCCCCTGCTCAAGCTTTCCGTATCCTCGCCCCAGTCTTCCATCCTCTGCTTACCTGCCTTCGGATCCTTGGAATTGGAACTCACCTGAGTTGATGGAAAAGACGCAGAACATTGCAAGGAGAACGACCCAAGCCCATCCTCCATCAATGTCTGGGTGATGCAGAGGTATCGCTGTTTTATCTACAATTCCGTCTTCCGTCTGCTGCTGTCGGAACGGAAGTACAAAAGTAACATTAGCAGCCCACTTTATTAAACCTGTAGACATCATACGAAAGGATGAAAACGCAATACCTCATTTGAAATACCCCTACTCTTTTTCACTGTTAAAATTGCTACAATTTATGTGATTATGCCATGTTCATTATTATTATCTTGCCAAATATGTACATTTTTGTCTCACTTGCTTACAGAGCCACCGAGGAATAAAGAGGTTTGACTAGACACACGAGGTAAACCATTTACATTAATAGTTCATTCTTTGCATGCCTGTACGTATACATGTAAAAAGGTAGGTATGTATTTCGCTAAAACATGGCAGAAAGAAGGAAACAAATTTAAACCAATGTGTTCCGATTAACCTTGCGGTGCTGACCTTGATGATGAGGGTAGAGGGGGTGGTTGTGATCTGGGGCGAGGACTCTGAAGGTTCCAACACTGTATCTGTCTCGCTGTCACCACTTGTGGAGCCCTCCTTAGCCTCAACGATGGTACCCAGCTGAGCCAGGCTGGGCTCTCCACACAGTGGTGTAGACACCGGCTCGTCCTCGAAACTGACAGCTCCCATCCCTGGCGCAAGGTCTAGTGTGGTGCCTGTTGGAGATAGCGATAATGTTTCATCAGTCAGGACTCTAATTTGGGGAAAATATGGGAACAAGGAGCTGGGATACAAGGACAGAGTAAAGAAATAATCTGGGAAGGGGAAAACTATCAGGGAAAAGCACGAAGCCATTAAGACTATATAGCACTGGGAAGGTGTTAGGATAAGGATTTGGGATGAGACGGGAAGAAAGAAATGGTGCCCAACCACTTGGACGGTCGGGGATTGAACGTGAACCTACAAGAAGTGAGGCTGTTGCTGCAGTACCAACCAGTTCAAGTTTTAACCCTAGGGCCACCATCTCTAGTGGCCTCAGTGAGGACAGGAAACCGGCGACATGTCAAAGGTCCCCCCGTTTGTCCTGATGATTTTATTGAGGTTGATCTTGGATCTTGAATTACAGCAGTTTTTTGGCATTTACGGCTTTGGGGGGTAGGCAGTTCCACGGCTTTAAAACCCTATGGTGAAAAAGCATCTCCTGCTTTTTGTCCTTCATTGTGGCTTGTTGAGCTTGAAACCGTTCTTTATGTTACATCTGACGTTTTAAAGAAGTGGTGTAGATCAATATCCTCCAAATTGTTCAATATTTTAATCGTTGATGAGAGATCAGCGAGGACTGATGTGGTCCCCATGGCGCAGTGGCAATGTTACGGGAAATCCCGCAGAAACATTTGTGTATGTACCCAATTTTGTTGCAAAAAAACAATAACTCAAGGACTTTTATCGACCCTATCTTAGGTTCTCACCTCTTTCAACAATTTTACCAGAGCAGGTATTCAGCTCCCATAAAGAAAATTTTCCACAAAATTAAGCAGCCGCGTTTACCGCAACAAAAGCTCCTGCGGAAAGAGATGTGACAAGGTTTTCCTATTGACAGAAGAATCTTGCTGTGTCTAGATACATATCGCCTAGTAAGTTGCTATATCAACTGTTGTGCCAGGGTAGTGTCAAAGAATGGGAGACACAGTGTTGTGATAGAATTCTCACGTTGATGGTTCGGAGAATTAGGCTTTATTGTTCTGCCGACTAACTGTTCGAGGCAACAGGATAATATCTTCGTATATATTTTTCAGCTTGTGCAAACATGCGGCTAGACACTACCACTGATAGTACTGAAGCACCTTTTGTATCTTAACATTCCCTAAATCCGCCATAAGATCTTCCATCCCTCGGAAGTTTTTCTTGCAAGAGTTTTGTAACATTTAGGACTGGAATTAATTTTTCCAAGTTGACCAGGAAGCCTGAGTCGCTATAATTGTTAAAAAAAAGCTTCTTAAGAATTTAAACACTGTCTTATTATTATTTATTGTTGAGGAGCTGTTGTTGCGGTGTTGACAGTGTGTTGATGTTAGTGATGTTCTTGTTGTTCTTGTTGTTGAGTTAGTGTGATATTGTTGGATAAGTGTTGCTGAGGTGGTGCTGATAAAGTGTTCCTGTTGGGGTGGTGTTGGTGGGGTGTGTTGCCGTAGTATTGTTGAGAGTGTTGGGGAGGTTGGGGGGTGGGGGGGTATTCTCATAATTTACCAACTTTGTCAGGAATTCAGTCAATGCCACCACAGCTGGGTACAGGAGTCTGCGACTTCTGATTTAATCCAAAATGCTTGAGATAACTGGACATGAAAGAGAAATAGCATTATAATTTTAGACTACTTGAGTGATAGGTTAATTAGACAGGCTAAGCGGATATAGTTACAAACTAAATATATCTACATCTTTATAAGGACTGAAAACGTCATTAACCCTCTGCTCTTAGAGCAAATTTTACTCGCTGTGACAGTGAAAAAATATATTTTATATAACATTTTAATTATCCACACTATTTTTGTTTTCTTCCAAAATTGAAGCCATTCATAAAACCAAGGGGAGGTCCATAATACATATGTAGCAAATTTCAAAATTCAAGGTCACTAGCGACATATGATCGCTAAATGCCTGGTAAAATGTCAAAGCAAGCTTAAACATATCAATACAAGGACACTGCAATTCATGCGGTGTCAGACATATTGGTGCCAGCTAAGTAGAATGTTTACATTCGTACATCCAAAGCCTTGAATAGACTAGACTCACACCTCGTGTATGAGAAACTATCATGTAAGACTAGAATATTAGGTGCATAGCTCAATATATGCATAGTGCGTTAATAACAAAGAAATGTTTACTTAAAAAATATCGTGTTCGTCTTAATATGGATGGATATCACGCCCATAATTAACTTTATACAAAAACTCCCACTGAAAAAACTTCACTGTGAGAGTAGTTTGCGTTCAGAATGGATATTCATTATAAAATGAATGTTAAACATAACTATCTCACGTTTTGTGCAACTTTATATATTTTTGTGGAGTATTTTATATTTTTACTCCTAGTCTGAGTGTTCCTTATAGAGATTAACATTAATATTTATTGGCAATTATTGTTTCAAATCAATTATTCTCTTTTAAGCTTTATTGATAATTTATGCAGAAAAGTTTTCATATCTTTTCACATTTAATGCAACCTAATTTTGGCGTTAATACAAAATTGCGATGTTTTTAGTGCAATTAAAAGTACAACAATATTAGGCTTCCACAGACATAGGTTGGATTATTTGTTTAGGTTCGGGAGCGTCTTGTTAGATAAAGCCGCTTTATATTTTTTAATTTAATTTTTTTTTTATATTTGACGTAGGCTAAATGAACGGGCAGCAAGTTCCGCGCTCAACTCCACGAGTTCCTGTCATTCCTTCAGGCCATGTGCTGTTCACTTAACACTGTAATCATAATCTTGTTTCAAATCAAGGATTTGATGTCAGATACTTTTTACAAACTGAAACTATCTATTAAAGAAACACTGATAGACATCTTAGTTTCAGTTCGAAGCTGTTGGATCAGCATGCAGTTGTTACAGTTTTTCTCCTCTACAAATATTTTTCAGTTCTTCTTTTGAGATTAAATTAAAACTACTTAATTTCTTACAAGACACCATTTTAAAACACTTCTTGGTTTTCTTTAACACTCAGTGCCTCAGATGCCTTCACAGCCGCCTCCAGGAACTACAACACAACTGGAGACAAGATTCTTTAGAGCGGGTCTTCCTTACAAATATCTTTGACATTTTAATTACATTATAAAATTTCACAAATTACTTTTTTATCCGGTTCACAGCCTTTCTCCCGCCCCTGCCTATCAGCAGTGATATGTAGACTAAGATACTGCTGAAGCAACATTACCACACTGCCTAAAGAACTGACGGGGGGGCCTCGCAGATATTTGAATCGTATTAAGTGATAAAAATACTGCTGACCAAACCACACACTAGAAGGTGAAAGGACGACGACGTTTCGGTCCGTCCTGGACCATTCTCAATCGACTTGAAAATGGTCCAAGACGGACCGAAACGTCGTCGTCCCTTCACCTTCTAGTATGTGGTCTGGTCAACATTCTTCAGCCACGTTATTGTGCCTCATTGCCTGCATATGATAAAAATACTGTTCAATTCGCAGGATAAACTGGCATTATACAAGGTTTTGGGTGCAGACGCGGGCGAAGCCTCACCCGTGTGCGTGATCATGCCGGAGGTTAGACCAGGACTGGCTGGCCCGCTGCCTCAGGTGTCCGCTCTGCAGTGCGGTACACCAACACGTGGCAAATGTGTCCTTGCTTATTGACCTGACACACTCCACAATCATTGCCATCCACGTTATGCTCCTCGATTGTAATGTGGATAAACCGCACTGTAAAACGGGTTCTCTCTTTCCTCCCCCATCTTCGTGAATATTAAACGTTAATATTAACGTCCTGCCCGAAACGCTTTGCGTGATAGTGGCTTTAGGCATTGTATGTACTAGCTCTATCTATAAATCCATCAACTTTTGTATCTTACCTTGTATGTACTTTACTTCAATAAATATTTGTATTTTTTTTTGTTAAATATGAAATAACATATACATATATAATTGCATTTAAATGCAGAACAATTATGAATAAAGTTTTTATTTGATAACTTGCAATCTGCCCATATAGTAAACAAAATTATTTACTTGGATTATTGGTGATCGAACTCGGACCTGTAAAATACAAGGCCATCAGTATGGCCTACCAACCATGACAGTTGTGTGTCTATGTATGTATTAACACGATGTACTGAACGGGGTGAGAATAGCTTGAGCTACCTCATCCCTTTGTGTGTATCTTACCTCAATAAACTTATTTCAATTTCAATTTCAACCATGACAGAATATTAACAATGTAAAAGGTCTCTGAATGTAGCTGTTACACAATCCGAGCTTTAGACCTTCCCTAAACTACTACGACAACACATGCTGGTACTCCACTACTTTATCCACATTACAATCTGCAATTCACCATATTGTTGTAAATAACATTTAATTCCCTTGGTTCATTGAGGATTGAACTTAGAACTGTATTCAAGGCTGTATTCAAGCCTAATAGCCTTGTTCAAATTCTATGGAAAGATCATCATGATACAACAGGAAAGAGTCAGCTGGGTAGTTTATATCTTTCCTGACTTTCAGGAAGCATTTGATAAAGTTCTTCACAAAAAAAGCTAGTGCATAGGATGGAGAGGCTGGACGGGATAACTTGATGGATATCAAACTGTTCATGGGAGTACCTACTTATCAGGAAACAGAGGGTCACAGTGGGACAAAAGATCGGGTAGAGAAATGTAGTAAACTGAGTTCCTCGAGGCTCGGTCCTGGGCCCCTTGCTATTCCTAATTTATGTTAATGACGTAGTATAATAGATTACATGCATGTTCAGGTTTACGGACGGTTTACAATTACTGATGAGCTTACAGAGTGAGACTACAGAGTGCTGCAAGAAAACTCCGACAACCTGCAGGAGTGGGCAGATAAATGGCTACAGGATTCCAACGCCAGAAAGTGTAAAGTAATGCTGACGTGATTATCCTCATTACTTTACACTTTTCTACTCCTCCGCTTTTCTCTCTACTACCTCTTTACCCCTTTTTTATTTCTGTCTTCTTAATTTTC